TTTGGTACCTTTCTTGCAACGATTTCTGCAATAAAAATCACCATGGATTGAAAAGTTGAGGAAATCTTCCAGCTACAGTGCTATGTTTTGGCAGATGAGATCCATCCCTGGTCTCTTGAACTGCTTCTTTCTTTTGACAGGTTGCACATGTAAGGTGATGCCATGTGATGTAGTTATGAGGATTTCAGTTTGTACTAATCAAAATGATCTGATTTAAGCATTCTTACCAACAGTTTAATGAAACTTCATATCTCTAGGTTTTCTTTATTATCTAGTTATTTTTTCTGGCACAAGGTGACTGAGAAACATCCAGTGAATCTTATTGTCATTTCTGCATAAGCCATACAAATACTGATTTTTGCTCCTGTGACAGATAAACCTCCAGAGCTCCTCATCTGTGTGTTGCCATTTAACTGATTTTTATGTTTGTTTGTTTGTAAGCATTGCACTACAATAAAACTTGGATGACATTGTCTAAGCCAAAAGTAGAGACATGATTTGGGAGCAGCCACGGGAATATACGTGTTACAAACAAAATTCTAGCTTTGGTAGGGGTTTGATCACAGTGGATACAAGTCAAGCAAGAAACCAGATGGATTTATTTAGCATAGCCAAAAATGGCAATGAGAAGAAAAGGAAAGAAGAGAGTCCTTTTTTTCAATGAATTACATGTTTTGCTTCTTTGCTAATGCTATAGATAATGCTGGCATTGATTGTCACACAGCCCACAACAGATGTAATGCAAAGAAAGTTGTGAAAAAATATAGTAATATATGCAGTTAGAAAAAGACGAGGAGAGGAGCGAATGCCCACGTGCATGTGTCTCAGTATGTTTGTGTGCAGGGAACACGTTTCCCAACCTGCCTTCCAAAGGGTGCTTGCCTTTTGATGTTGCCCTCAGAGTGGCAAATGGTGCTGGCTTTCATGTGATTAAACTCTTAACAGTGCCACTGGGTTTCTTCTGCTTGAAAAGAAGCTCAAGGTGTACTCCAAAGAGACACAAGTGAAGCTATGCTCCCTTTTCCCACCATTTCATGCTCACAGAGCTATTGTTTCCTACTGCCTCCTCTCCTGCACTGAGGAGGGAGATCCCAAAAGGGAATGCTGTCTTTAGGCGGTACTGACCAAAGTTTATGTAGCTTGAGATCCTTTCAGTTCAAGGTAATCTGAGCATCTCAGTCCCTTCCTAAGAACTAGAGCTATTTTTGAAGCCCCCACACAGTAGAAAGCAGCAGGGATTTTCCTGCTTGCCCAAATGCTTGCAGGAGGTCCTGCCAGGCTGCCCAAATGAGCTTCTTCTCTGTTTGATGGTGGGTGGCAGAACAGAGTGTAAGAGATATGATGCGATGACCTTTGCAGAGAGGTGCAGACGGGTGTAGAGCAGAGACAGGAAAATTACCCACCTTTTAGTTAGTCGTTGATGTTGCTTTCCCTGGAAGGAGAGGCTGTCTTAAACCCCAGCAATGTCCTCACTAACTGTTGCACAGGTGCCCAGGGAATTAGAAAGCTGCACCTCTCCTTTTTCTTCTTTCCAGCTAGAGAAGTTGCTTCACATACTGCATCGCATGCATGTGGTGGCAACGGAATACATTTCTCAGTGTATTTCTTGCACTTTGGTTACATGCGTGCATCATCAAGAAAGCAGGATGGACTCATATGTTCCCTTCTGCTTTTGAAACCTTGGTGCAGGCTTTCATCTAACACCTTGCTAACAGCAGTGAGTTGTAAGAGCAGTCACTCTTTGTGATCAAGCTTTGCCATTTTTTCTGTGACAAAACCTGAAGATGGAATGTAGGAGCCAACAGAGCTGCCCTGTTCTACACTGCCCAGTTGCTGAACCCCTCCTGGCTTTCCTGCACTAGCCCTGAGCTGGTCAGTGCAGGCATGAGCTCATGAGTGGGACTTGGCAAGATTTTATCCATGGGGAATAGAAGTTTCCTCTTGATTGCTTTCTAAATGTAGAGCATTCTAAGCTAATTAACATGGATGATATCATTCCAGCCAGCAGCACAAGATAATGTCCATCCTGATTGTAAATGACGTAAACGTCTCTGTTTCTATTAGATGTACCAGAGGGTAATCTGTGTCATTTTTCGGAGTATCACTGATAAATTTTGTGCAGGGATATGTGCATCTTTTCTGCTGGCACAAGTAGATCCATGTGGAGCTACCAGTTCTCTATACGTGTAGTGCAAAAACCCCTGTGTTAGTCCACTGCTGCCATGAAATCAAGCTCTCGAAAGCTCATGCAGCATTTGTATCAGTGCAAAGAGAGCCAACTGAGTTGTGAGAGTTCTGCATTTTAACAGGAAAAAGTTCAGATAAAGAGCAACTGGAGAGCCGGTATGAAATTTCTTTCCCCTCAGTATTTTGCAGAAGCTTCCTTTGGTTGAGCTTACAAACCAGGTTTTGTAGAGAAATGACAGGATTCTGCTTGCACCAATGCAGACGTAGACTAGGGTGGCTGGATGACTTCTGCCAAGATACAGAGTTGCCTCTCTGCAGGAGTCAGGAAAGACTCAAAGCATCTCTTCACTGTATGAATGTTGGGAAAAAATAGGAAAATGAATTCTTTGTACTGCAAAGTTAATTTCCTGAATGAGTCTTCTTTGCATTCAAGTGGAGTGTGTGCTCCAATAGGTGGTGGAGTTTAACAAGAGAATGTTGGTAGTCCGTATTGCTAGTGCAAAAAGTGAAATGGCTTTTTAGTTCATCAACTTCTGCCTGACCTAGGGCCCAGCTTATCCCCCTTTCTTCTCTCCTTACTGGCAGTCTTCATGTCCTGTTCCCTGCCAACATGGAGTCCAGTGGTTTGCCTTAGCTGCTGAATGGAATTGTCTCATTCACACAGATGTCTGCAGAAGTGCCGAGCAACTTAAAGATAAACTTTAAGAGAAAAGATGAAGATAAATTAGTAAAAATACCTTGAACAAGTCAAGATCCTTTCACCAAGTGGATGTGTTGTTTATTTCCGGATGCTCTGGTTTCCCCAAGCTTAGCTCTGTTTTGGAGCCATGCTTTAGGCAGGCGTTTCAAGTTAGCTTGGCTCCTCTCAGCCAAAACTTCCTTTGTGTTCGTTACTGATCCTGGTGTGTAAATAGGCGGGTTATTATTCTTGCCCTGGCCAAGAAAATGGGGAGTTAAAATTCAAGGATGCCATGGGCACAAGTGCTGACTAATGGTTACTGTCTTGAGTACACAGAAATCAATTTGGACCTTGTCTGATGAGCACTGCTGCTTTTTTTTTTTTTTTTTTTTCATATAAAGCAATACAGAAAAATTGAGAAATAAATGCATTCACTTAAGATAACATTGTGTGACAGCTGAGAACAATTAAAACTCTTACTTGCAGCTATATTTTTTTCCTTTCTACAGTAGGTGGGTGGTGTCTGCAGCTCTGAGTAGTTGGGTATTTGTCACGGGTCTGATCTTATCATTCACATGGGAAGAAAAACTGTCATGCAAGGTTATTTATTTTACAGCCTTTTCTCCTGGCTTTGCACAACACACAGATCTTGGTAGATGAGAAAGGATTTTTTATTTTTTTCTTACAAGAGTCTTTTTAGCAATAAACACACGCCTAACTGTAAGAGAAAAAAAGTTTCACAGCCTAACTTGTTTTGTGAAGCCCAAACATTTGTGAAGCTTACAAACCCTCAAACTTTGCATAATGTGCCCATCTCTGATCTCAAACATGAGGTGGCAGAAGAGGGAAGTGTTACTTTTTTTAACCAACAACTTATGACTGTGTCAACACATGACAATTTGTCAAAGCTTTCTGTAGTGGTGCTGTAAATTAATTTTTAGCATCAGTTGTGAGTGGTAAACACTTCATGCGGTGTGAACAGCTCTTAGTACAGTGTGAGTTGTCAGCAGCTTGCTATCTACCCTAAAAGAAAAAAAAAAATGAAGGAGGGAAGGATGAAAGCTCAGTTACCAGTATAAAATGGATCTGAGTCTGCAAAAATTAGACATGTGGTGCTATTTTTTTCTTCCTCCATACCAGTCAACTCAACCTTGAAATGCAGTGCTTGGTTTTTCCAATAATAAGAACCTGGCTTCCAGTCTGGGGTTTGAAAATCACAGCTTTTCATCCTGTGCATGGAAATAGTGCCTGAAAGCATATGGGTTCCTCTATTCACTAGATAGCTAGGTGAAGTTGGGCCCTCTCTTCACCTTTGAGTTGTGCCTCTGTTTGCTTTAAAAGCAGAACGTGTCCTGCATATGTGAGCCTGCTCCTTTGCTGAGAAGTCTCACATAAATGACATAAAATGAAAAAAAAAGATGTCAGGCCAAAAAGAAATATTGAGGGCTGAGTTCAGTCTCTCCCTTGCCTGTCTCCATGATGTTTCTCCTTGCCCATCTGAGCCATTGTGGTTCATACAGTAGGAGTTGACATGATGGAAGAAAATGATTTGGTATGAAAAGCTGGGAAGTACGTACTGTAGAAAACAAGTTTTCAGATATAAACCTATTTTAATCTGTCACTTCAACAGAACAAGTAGTAATAACCTCCCAACCTAACAATGACTGTGAAGTTGAACATTAATTCGTTCAGTCATTGAATTGCTAACTTGTCTAAAACTTGCAAGTGAACACCCACTCAAGAGAGAAAAAGAACTTGGTGCCTAGAGTTCTTGGCCTTGCTGAAATCACCTAGATTTTTTGTCACTAATGCCAATATTTCATTTTGTGTTTCCTGAGAATGCTTCAAGTAGAGCTAGATGAGAAAAGCAGCTGAACCAGGTTGTTGGCTGCTTTGATATGTTCAGTATGTTTTTGTTCTCAAGCACAGTTGCTCTCAGCTCCAGCCCTCTAGGTCAGCTTTGACTGTGCTTTGGCACTTGTTCCTGTAAATGGGCGACACAATTGAAGCTTGGCATGGGAACTTTGTATAGTCCTACTAAGGCTGTTTTTAACCTGATTATGATTTTAGAGAAAAAGATGACTTTATTTGCGTATTTGCTCACAAAGAATTTTGGTTTTATTTCCTTTTCCAGATATAACTGTAGGTGCTTCTCGTGTGAAAGAGCTGAGCCACACCATCCAGTAAGCTGTCTAAAGCAACTGTTGGCTTGCTTGGAAATCACTTCCAGAACTGTGTTGTAAGTATTTTTGCAAAAGCAGCACAAAGTGGTTTCTTCAGTTCGGGAGGATTTTTGATGTTTTGATAGTTCCTTATAATTTCATAGTTTTATTCCAACACCTACTAGACAGCGGCAGTATACATGAGAATATCATCTTCAGACTATGATATCTGAAGAATTTAGCAAAAGTCCATTAAAAGCTTTTACCTGTCTTGCTCCGGAAAACACCCAAATCTAGAAATAAGTTTGGTAAAATACGCATTGATCTCTTTTGTTGTTTGCCAGTACAGTTTTTCATTCTGTGCCATACATGAGTTTTTTTACTGTTCATCCTTGTTTCCATTTTTGCTCTTGAGCATTTTAGCTGTGGGGCATAAACTTTGAGCTGTCTAAATTCAAAGTACTCCGTGGATAGCTGCCCTAAGTAAGCTGAAAAGAGCACTGTTTTGTCTCTTCCAGCATGCTGCGGTATGGACAGGGAACCTCAGTATGCTGTGAGTGGCAGTGGTTTTTATCAGCTGTGTTTGTCTCAGTGATGACTATGTATGTCAATGAAAAATACCCCATTTCTTGTTAAAAGCCAATTGCATTGAGTACAGCATTGTGAGTGTTTACTCTTAAAATCATAATATCATCCCAGAAGAATTCAAGAATAACACCAAGAAAACCTAATTTTGCCATTTTATACCATTACTTTTGAAAACATAATCCATTTGCAGATGTTTATGACCTGAAATTTTACACCTCTTTGATTTCTTTTCTTATTCATTTATCTGCTGCTGATGATGCAGGTTATCTTGATATGAGAACTATTTATGACTTCATTGCATTTCCCTTGAAATGGCCTCTGATAATGTCGTCACTTCAGAGAAAAAGGGTGGGAGCTTTTAGTGACTCAGGACTCAAGTCACTTAAAGTTAAGGACTTTGTACAGGTTGCTCACACTGCTTAGCACCTTGCAAAATATTCCCTGCAGGTTACATTTAGTGTACAAAACCAGTTTTTTTGTTTTTAATGTGCTAATCACAGAGTCTTTCAAACCCAATGGTAAAGCAATTGAAAGCAGATTTCATGGAGTAGGTTTCTTGTTTGTTGATTTCTGTTCTGTGTAGTCAACTGACACACCTGGATTGCTCTCTAGGTGAGTGTGTGTCACAAAAATCTTTGACTAGCTCTGTCAGGTTCCCATACTGTCTTCTCACCATTGGTCTGCAAGTCCTGTGCTTAGTTTAATTCAACATGGGTGGACAAGAGTAGAAGTTCAGAAAGATGTGGTTGTTGTGAATTATGGATTACCTGTGCTGTGGCAAATGGACAGAAAATCAGGGGGTTGCTTTGGGAAAATTCTGTAGAAATTTGGAAAAAGACAAGATGTTTGGTTTTGGCATCTTGCCTGCACACGGTCTGTGTGATGCTGGAATTTAAATCACAACCCAAGCTGATTTTTTCAGCACGGGAAGCACCCTGGGGGTCACAAGTGCCTCTGGTCTTCTCCTGTACAGCATTGCAAGGCGTCCCAGCAGGGCAGCCTGCTATGTCCTGGCCCTGCTGTACAGCTGTCTGTATGCATCAAAGGATGTTTTACAGGGAACCTCTGGTTTTCTTGCTGTTAACACTGTATTTTAATTCATTGTATGTTATGGCTTTTGAGTCCCAGAGGCACCAGGAGCATTTATTTAATTGACCCTGAGGTAGTCACTGCTTGCTTTGTATGCCCAGATCAGACTCGGTGTCCCATGGCATACTACTGAGGCTGCTGTGCAGTTTTGTTTCTACCAGGTTCCTGAAGGACTCACTACACCACTGTGGCTTTCTGCCTCACGTCCTTTGAATTCAACTGCATTAGTCTCTTTAATGGTGTCAGAAGGCCAGAGGGACATACTGTCTCTCTTTGAATCCTCAAAGAACAAATGTGTGCTTTTAAATAGTTAAAAAGAAATGTTAATTATGATTCACAGATAGTTTTAACCCAAATATTAAGTAATATCAAATGCTGACGTTTTCAATCAGTAATTGTTTTTCCAGCTGCTGAGTGGGACTAACTATTAAATATTTTTAGAAGGTTATTTTTGCAGCTGCTCAAGAGCTTTAAGCATAAAAGTCTTAGGTTATTTTGTCGGGCTTGACAACCTTGGCTGCACAGTGGGCAAAAGTTAATGACAGTCTGTGGTGAAAGTGGAATGGTGACATTCTTCTGATACACCTTGGTTAGTTGTGGAAGGTTTGGGCTGCATCCAGATAAGCTGAAAATAGCATTTTGGGCTCTTTTGAAATTTTGTGGTTTTTCAACATTTTCTGACAAAAATCTACAGTCTTTTTTTTCTTTCTTACTATGTTGGTTATTACACATACATGAAAATTAGTTTTTTCCTCTCTGTATCTTGAGAATTTTTGTGTTTCATAGAGTGTGAATTATTTTATGAAATAATGGTTTGTCTTGTAACAAATAATATAATACTACAGAACTTTGTCTTAGAAATGTATATAATGTGCCTTTTAATAAGAGATTTTACGAGCTTTTCAAATATCAATTAAAGCACCAATCATGGAGGAACACTGTTCTCACCCATCAGAAAGACTAGTTAGATGCAGTACCCTGACTGTAAGTACACTGCTCACATTTACACAGTGATTCTTCAGTCAAACTGGTAAAATATTTTCATACAATGGCTTACTGGTAGCTTTTCTTCATCTGATTGCTCATTTTGTTGTAATGCCTAGCAGTGCTGGAGAATCTACTTTGGAATATAGCTTTTCTGTGCATCTCCTTGCTTTGGTTTCCCACTAAATCTATTCTGTTGTCTCACAACACTGATGTTTGCAGCAAACATTTGCTGTAATTCATGGAAACTATGAAAATACTTTAGAAAATCACTGATATATTTTGATCAGGCCATAATTATTAGCACAGAATGCACAAAGAACACTGAGACACTGAGAGCTAGAGAAAAGCTGATGCTGGTGGGGGAAAAGGTGAAATACTGAAGGTGAAATTCTGTTTAATATTCAATTGTGGGCTTTTTAAAGCCAAATTAAAAAAAGAAGTAGAATAAAAAGCTTCCACAAAGCAGAAGTGTGAGTGAAATGAAACGTAGTGGCTAGACAAATGAAAAAAAACCCAAATACATTCATTAAACAACACACCAAATTGAAATTTTAGAGCTCCAGTAGAAAAGGTAGTCTGTCGGCCACCCAGCTTGGACAGGGCACCCAACTGGAACTCATGGTCTGGGTTCATTTACCCGCCTTGGTCACAGGTTTCCTGTGTGTTCTCAGGCAATCTTTTTCATCTGCCCCATGACTGACTTCCTCATTTTTAAAACAGAGATCGTCGTCCTCCCTTCCGGAGGTGTGCCGTGAAGGTGCAGCCTACTGGTGCTTTTAAAAACATGAATGTTGCAATGGGAAGAGCCAGCCTAGGGACTCGAGTGAGAAGTATGAGCTTCCTCACAAAGAAAAATGGCCTGTGCTTCTGTTATTTACTTTCTGGGAGTAGATAGAAGGGATTTTCAGATCTAGAAAGGTTTTAGTGATTTTTTTTTTTCTATTTTGGATCTTTCCGATCTGTTTGTCATGGAATTTGGCTGTCCCTGTGCAGCAGCAAGCAGTTGGAATATTCCTTGTCTCTCACCTTTCTCCTCACGGTCTGCCTCCTTCTAGCTTTGAGTCATTCTTATCTGCTTGACACACACGACCCACACAAACCCAACTGGATCAGAAATGCAGATTCTGTCATCTGCTGAATTACACAGAGATCTCTTGACATTTAAATATGAGTGTGTGTAAGAAAGAAACTGGAAAATGCTTGAGCCTTTTCAGCAGGTTACCTGAAGTGACCCTTAGCTGTTGAAAAAGGCACTATGAGGGAGCCATCCGTCACCTCGTGGCCTCCTGGCAAGATGTACATTGGCACATTGTTGCTTTCACATGATGAGGGTATCTCAGTACTAGCACTAGCACTACAGTTAGCCTTCTGCTCCTCCACTCAAGTCCCTAATAGGCAAATATTCATTTAAGTGATTTCAATATGAATCTCACACGGATGCTAATTCTGAGTAAGGAATCAGAAATGACAAGTCACATGCCTTTTGATGTGTCCTTTTATCTCATGTGGGTTGATATTTAAACTTTTCTCAGCATTTACAGGAATTATTTTTCTCTGGGAAGACGGTGTGGAGCTCTGTACTTTCTTTCTCTTCCCCCCTTAGTAATGCTCTTCTTTAGCCACTGACAAGATCATGAAACTACAAACAGGTTTTCATTCTGACCAAATCCACCTTTTGTTTTCTCTTTGATTCTGCTACGACAGCTGTTTCTGTTTTCTGTCCTCCCACCTTCTTTATACCTTCTTTTTGTTTTGGCCATGTTTTTGCAAACCTTCCTTTGACTTGACCCTCAATTCTTGGAGTTGCTGGGGTTAATGAGAGATCTTCTTCATTGGAACCTGTGTAACCTTCCCATCCATTATGTATTTCAGTCTTTTTCCCATGGACACAGAAATGCCTCCCCTGCTTTCCTCTGAGATCTGTACTATCCCAGATGTTTTTCTGCCACCAGTTCTCTGTCTCCAAAGTCTTCCCTTCTCTGCTTGCTTCTTACTTTTGAATGGCAATCTTTTCCTTGGGAAATTTGGCTTATCTTCACCAACTGTTTGTCAAATTGCTTTCCTGTTTATATTTCTCCACCATTTATTTCATTGCACTAGTTTTCCCTCTCTCATGGAGAGACTTGTGAGCAGCCTTGTTGATTTAGGTCAGGGTACTCCCATTTTAGGTGAATAAAGAACCAGCTTCCCATTTGGAGAGAAGCATTGCCCCTCTGGGTCGGCTGCTATATCTAATTTAAACATCTAAATGTGAAGATATTCAGTCGCGGGAAGAGTGATGTATCATCCCTTCAGAGACTGGTTAACTCCATCCCCAGCCCTGAGAAAACATGGCTGTGCTTGAACTTTGCTGCTGCTGCTGTTGCTGCTGACCATCTCCTCTCTGCTTGTAGTACTTTTTTCTTTACCAATT